GGGCACGGGGTGGATATACGGGGCAGGGGACGCAGAGGGGCGGCAGGGGGAAGAGAGATGACGGCCCCGGGCGAGTTTCCACTGGGTTACTGACTTACTTAGTCCGCTCGCGCTCCTGCCGAGTGCGAGCGGCGCAAAAAAAATAGGAAGAAAAGGAAGGGCGGATTTCGCGGTTTAACGATCGACCGATCGCGTTTCGAAGGAGAAGAGGGCGGTGGGTGACGGAGGGGCAGGGGGTGGACCAAGCGTCTCGGGCACGCTCTTCGATTAATGATTGACAAGTGGCCCAGGCGGGAGAAGGTCCACTCGGGATTTCAATGATTTGTGAACTCGCGGGCTCCATAGATAAGATGATACTTTTGACGAGACGCGTTGCCTCTAAGAGAAATCAAGGGAACAAAGTCGGATCGCTGCGGTGCACGCTGCAACATTGTGCTTGCAACCCTTTGAAGCACAGGATCTTCAAAATTCGGATTCTAATAAAACATTCACATGTCTAGAATGACAACCCAAGAGATCAATTTCCTTTTGAAATTAATTTCTTCTGTTTTCTTATTTTTATAGAATAGGAGTGGTTTCACCCTGTACAACCACCGTGCACCAAAATATTTTCATTACTATACACAGGCTGAGTAACAGCGGTTCACTCTGCCTGAAGCTATGGTTTGGTTCTAGTAGATGATCTCACGGTGAAATCACCGCGCTCCAAAGGGTTAAAGTCATCAGTATAATCTAACGTTGACAAAATATCTGTGTAATTAAGTAATTAATGAATTAGCATTCGTTGTTTAGATTATTAGTTCTTCAAGCGGGCTCTGTCCAATGCAAGTTTACGCAGTGAGGCTTTCGCGTCTTTTGGGAGATCGAGTTTCTCGGATCATCTCCTGCTGCAGATCCGTGTATAGATCCTACGGAGACGAATATTCGCCCAATTATCGTGCATACTCCCGTTTCAATGCCGAAGTCGGTAAACTATGATACACAATATCAGCTTAAAGAGAAGTTCGGAGAGATAGAGAGAGAGAGAGAGAGAGAAAGTTCTAAAGTGATGCACTTTGTAGTTCAACACTTGGATTTATCAAAATTGTGTCTTATATTTCAATATGACAATTTTGTTTATCTTTTTATTATTATACTTACGAATTGCACAATTTTTGCAATGACGAAAATTGAGGAGATTTTTACGCCAAATTTGTCCACGTGTAATAAAATTATTTTAAAAAGTCGCGGTTTTCGAGAATATAAGTTTTAAATACTATGCCGTGTGTTTGTTTATATACACTACACTATAGATACGCGTCGCGTGCTATTTGCACGAAAAATTTCGCTCAAATAGCAAAAACCGACAATAAACTAGACGTCTTTCTCGCACATTGTATCTCTTTCTCGGTTCAAGTAGCGCAGCCGCAAAATTAATTAAACAAGAATGGTAATAATAAACGTATAAATGTGTCTGAATTGAAGAAAAGTGTTTATTGAGCTATATTGTGCAATAATTTGTTACAATAATATAATATAATAATATTATAATATCGTAATGTGTAATTATAATAAAAGCGACAATGGTGACAACATATTGATAACGGCGATGGATAATGAGGAAAGACATCGATAAACTAAATAATGATCACTTTTTCAATAAACAATGAAATCGCAGGGGAACATTTGTAAAAGTATAAATTTATATATCTTGAAATTCGCGTAAAAACAACAAGATATGAGATATATTTTGAAGAACATGACGTTTAAAAAAATGAATTTGAATATGTAAAGGATTGTAAAATATATTAAAAATATATTAAAAATATATTGTAAAATATATTAAAAATATATTAAAAATATATTGTAAAATATATTAAAAATATATTTAAAAATTTTGATCCAAAATATATTTTCTCACATTCGTCTTATACTCATCGGACAGATTATTTCATCACTTCGAAGATACATTCGCTCAGAATTGATTTTATCGAATTATCTCGTTCCATATAAACTTACGAGGAGACATATTCAAGAAAATACACGCTTCTTATTTTTACTTGCTGTACAACATATGCAAAGTCCATCGAAATCGGTAAAGGACACTCGCACACAAACATTCTCTTGCACAAAACAGTTGGCAGGCAGAGATAAGCTCTTCGATCTCGTCCAATGAGTTTTCCAAAAACCGTCACGAGATCGAAAAGGTACACTCTCGCTTGTCCGTCCCCATCGCGGAGACTTCTTCGTTTCTTCACCTTCCTCATCTTCTCCGCCGCGGAGAGCGTGCACGCTCTATCGGCCATCCACCCGCGCGCGGATCGGCGAAAACAGAAATACGAATGGAAAAGAGCGGAATCACACAGTACTTTTTGGTAGGGCCATCGGTGCGTGGCAGCTGTGATCCTTTTTTCGAATCTCTTTCCTTTCGCGTGTTCCCTCTTTTCTTCGGCGGGCCGACAGGCCGGCTTTCCCGTAATCCCTTCGAGGAAGAACGACAGGACGAGAGGGTGGGAAAGAGAAAGGGAATAGAGAAGAAAGACGAAATGGAGAAGAGAGTCAGAGAGAGGGAAAGGGAAAGAGAAAAAAAGGAAAAGAGAGAGAACAAGAAAGCGAGAGAAGGGAGAGGGGAATAAGAGAGTAGGGTCTCGCGCGCAGGGGCGGAAGAAACGAGGATGACGCGAGAGAAACGGACGACCCGCGCTGTTTGCCTTTTATTAAACTCTTGTTAAACGCCGCCTTTCTCCGCACACACAATTGAATCGGCAAAACAGCGAAGATAATGCTCCTACTGGCTCGTATACGACCGGAGGCTGGTACCGAGAGAAAGAGAATGAGAAGGGAGGGAGGGAGGGAGAGAGAGAGAGAGAGAGAGTGGAGGAATAAGAGAAGACTTACCGCAAACACCAGTTCCTTGTTGCGGCCTGAAATGGACACCGTGTAATCTGCCTCTTTATATCCGACTGCAGGATCGCCGTGCGAGGATCCTTCAGCCAAGGAGGAAGAGCCTCTCGCTCGGTAGCGGATCCGACGTGAAAGCTTGCTGATCGGTCCCCGATCGATTCCCTCGAAAAGGGCCCCGTGAAAATCGCGCGGCCCATCGTACCGCACAACGGGCCTCTAATGAAAATATTTGGATGTTTCCAACAAAATCGACAGCGCGCCGTCTCTCTCGACAAAGCCCCGTCGTTTGGGCCTCAAAGGGCTGCTAATCGAGGGCCCTTCTTCGATTACCCCTCGAGTCGCTTTCGACGTTCCTTCACTTCGCGGGGACACGTGTTAATTCGTGCACCCGTGTGTACCTAAGGCTCCCGTGTCCTCGTCGCGGCCATCTTGACCAATGACGTCAGAAGCGTGAAAACGTATGCTCGAAATTCTCACGTCGAAATTAAAGATTGCGTCCAAATGGCACTCGTGATCGCGATTGGGCACATTTGCAAAATATTCCCCGAAAACTCTCCTCTTACTTCAACAATCGATAAATAGCCGTAAAATTAACACAGATCGTAGAGGTAAAAGGACAACATGAGCTTAACCTAGCTTTACTGATTATCTTTATCACTTCTACTGATTTTAATCTACGAATTTTTCGTTTTTTTTTTTATTTAACGTGATAGAATCATAAGAAAAGTTAAAAAGAAAAATTGCATGCCTCACGTTAATTTTGTGATTTCTTATTGATCGTTAAAACAAAAGGAAAGTCGGAATATCTTACAAACGCGCTCAATCGAGTAATCCCAAGGGTCACTTTACGAGCACACCCTTTTATTTCAGCGTATTTCACAAGAGTTTAGCCCAGGCGTTTTCTCGCTTCTGACGTCATCAGTCGACAAGCACTAGGAGCCTTAAAGAGAACAGGAAGAGGAAAGGGAAAAAGGAAGAAGTAATATCGTTTATATCGGAGCTCTCCTTCTCTCTCTCTCTCTCCCTCTCCCTCTCTCTCTCGCGCGCGAAACCACCAACGAGAACTCGCCTCCGAGCCGTGTGGCCGAAAAATTAAAAAAAAAAAGAGGAAAAGAAAGAAGAACGGCGAATTCAAATTACATTTTGTATTCATGGATTTTTTTTCGACAAATTACCGCGATATTACGCGCGAGGGGAAAATCAGAAATACAAATAGAGACATTAACACCTCGTTTGCGAGCCCCACGCTCGATCGGGGAAACAGTAAATGGAAAAACAATAAAAATCGGCCGGGCGCGTGTTTTCCCGGGCGCCCCTATCGTCGATTATTATTATCCGTTGCGCTCGTAACGGTCCGTTGCGTCATCGCGCTCCGCTCGGGTGCACGCACACATCAGTGACACGCTTATAAAAAAACACTTTTAATCGCTCGCTCCGAGATACGCCTCGGCATCAGAGGTTACGCCGTGAAAAATAACTGCGATACGCAAACGCGATATCGCGCGCACCAAGCGTTCCTATCATTATTTGTTGCCGAGCGAGACTCCTTGAAGGAGAGAAGGGAGAAGAGAAAGAGAGAGAGAGAGAGAGGGTGGGAGGGAGAGAGAGAGACGTTACTCTCTCTCTCTCTCTCTCTCTCTCTCTCTCTCTCTCTCTCTCTCTCTCTCTCTTTCTCTTCCTTCGCGCACGCAAATAACGGATCGCTCGCGCGAATCGAGAATAACGCACCTCGTCGCGTCGATGGAATTCAAACACCTGGAAAAACTTAATTTCGAGCTTCTTACATCGGAAATCGATTAAGCTTCTCTCTTTTTCTCCCGGGAGACTTGCGATTCTTTGGAGGAATTCGAACGATTTGACGGAACACGTTTTGCGCGCGCTCTCACCGGTGTATATGTTATAATATTTCTCGACGTGATTGTTTACTCAAATGCGGAAATAAAAGAAAGTTGCATCACATACGTAAATGAAGTCCACGCGTAAAATCTAATTTACGACCGCTTTCTCTCTCTCTCTCTCTCTCTCTCTCTCTCTCTGTCTGTCTGTCTGTCTCCCTCTTTACTCTTCCTTCCTCTCTCGCGCGGCGCTCCAAAGAAAGGGAGGGAAAAACGCACAGGTAATTTAGAAACGATGTTTATTTCCGCGCTGCGTTTCGTAGTCGGTTTACAGTAACGGGAGGAAGCCAGTTTTAGTCGTTTACTCCCGCTATCTCGCGCGTTGCATTTTTTATACACACCTACGCAGTAGTAATAGTGGTGAAGGTGGAGGTGGTGGCGGTAGTAATGGTAGTAGTAACGTATAACGAGGTAAAAACTAAGTACTCATAAAAAACGTAAAATGGCTCCGGCCTGTCTGTTTTTCTATTTGTAATTTTTCCTTTTCTTCCTCTTTCTTTCTTTTTTTTCTTTCACGCAGAAGGGGGAAGGGAGATTTGGCTTTTAAGGGCACATCATAGGACTGCGGGCGCGTGATGCGCGCCTACGCGTATTTTGCGTATATTTACACATATATCTCGTGTATGTACATACGTATTTTTTCTCCTCTCCTTCTTTCTTCGTGTACTTTCAACAGATATGACGGTTACGCGGTGTGTGTCCGATAGCGTATAAACTCGACGGTCATAATTTACATTTATTTCGCTCTCGCCGGCTGCTTTTTTTTTCCTGTGTGTTTGCCTCTTTCGCTTTTTTTCCTCTTTTTCTTTCGTTCAATCTTCGTTTCAATCTCTTCTCCCCCGTCCTCCCGAACGTCACTCGCTTGCGCTCATTATTTATTGACTAGCGATTATCATAATTGACTAATAAATACAGAGGCGAAAGTGCGAGATTACTGGAATTTGACCTGCGCATTTGACGCGGAGAGAGGGGAAGAGAAGAGCTCAGAGCTGATACACGTACGATCGTCAATTGCTCTCGTTAGAAATGCTGCACGATGTTGAGGAAACAAAGAGGGAACGGTGAAACTTTGAGAGCCGAATCCGAGAAAAACCTCCATTTCCAGAAGCCAAAATCGAGTGCCGAGATGATATTGATCGATAATGCTCTACAGTAAAGTCTCCTAATGAATAATATTGCAACTTCATTCGAGCGTCTCTTAACTTTTTATTCCAAAACAAAATTGTATATATAATTTCTCTCTCTCAATTTAATATAATATATTAAATATAATTTGTGCTCTTGTGAGGCGTCATATATATATAAATCCCGTCGGAAACCTGCAGACTGGATTTTCTTTGAATTTTCGACACGGAAATTCACCACAGATTTCCATTGTTTGATCGTCCAAACACATTGTGGAAATATATACAAATTAATGAAATTAATTGTCGTGAAACGTCCGTATCGAACAAGATTTTGAAGAATAAGATTATAAAATAAGATAAAGAATAAAAGATATAGAATAAGATTATAACATAAGATAGAGAGAATAAAAGAAAGAGGGGGTGGGGGGAATTAGAATTCAAGAAATCGACTAGTTCCGATCTGGACTCACTTTGTAACGATTAGCCGAGTGCTGATCATTAATCTGGAATTCTCAATCTCCAAAACCTAGTCTGATACGGGTTTGACGCAGACGGCGAGTCTTCCTTAAGACGAACTCGTGACAAGAAACGGATACGCGCCGCCAGTTCGCACCAGTTTAAACTCAGTATTATCCGGCGGGATGAAGAAACGAACAACGAAACGTACTTTGAGACGTTACATAGAATACGTGGATCCGGGGTACGTGGCCATTTTATCTATCATCGCTAATCGTCATGCACGAGGAGAGAAAGGGGACGACTGACGCAACTTGGCCGAATCTCTCCTGCGTCAATCAAGCCAGCGCATCGCGCGTCTTATTCTACTTTTAGAAAAAGTATAAAATCTAATTTGATTCTAACTTCGTTTGGACTCGTTTTCCGCCCGCGTTTACAACGTTTGTAGTGTGTGGTAAATGTTGAAAGTATGTATGTGTGTGTCTTAGGTTTTTTTCTTATATGTATATCGATATTTGTCCACAGTATTTCATCGCATATCGCGCGAAACACGCTGACGATTGGCACTGTTTTCTGACTAACTTGGTTGCGGAATCGACAACTGATGACGGGAAAAGAAAGTATATAGGCTCTCTCTCCAACATTGGAAGCTACGTTCCTTTGCTGCTATGCACGCAGGCATATATTAATCTCAATAATAATAGTCATAATTTTATTGATTTGTTTCTTTCACGTCGACGTAGATCTCACGATAAATTCGAACAATTGCGATTACTCTGTCAACGCGACCGCTTTCCGTTTATTAGGCGCAATTCGAGTGCGAGGGCCGTCCTCTCGGAATAGCAAGGCTTGATGAAAATCAGTCGTTATTTAAAATTCTTAGTTAAGATCCTTATCTCACATCTATCCACAGCCTAACAACTAATGTGTCCCTGACATATGTGATATAATTGGTCGTCGTAAGAAAAGATGGGGAAAAGAGGAAGGAAGGATGAACCTGAGTCGATCATACCTGAGGAGAGATCTACACGTTATCCTAGAGACACGTTATCCTATCGCGTGTCGTCTTTTACTTTCATATGCTTTTGGTGTGTACGCTGTTGGTGGAAATTATTGACGAGGTAAAGAACCGCTAGTGAGTATAGCATGAAGAATTTACAAACGCTGAGCGTTTGTTCCTTCATTGAGCGACGCGAACTCAAGGATCAAGAATCGAAGTGTTACAAATCCGCATACAGTCCAACGCGACATCAATGTTACCATACGAGACCCGGCAAGAACGATTCGTAAAGACTGATTTAGCGAGAATACGTACACCGGAAGAACTAGAAACATGTATTGTACACACATATACTTCCATGATAAAGCAAATAAAAAGTAGGAGCTTTTATCGCGAGGAAAACATTGATCGCGTACTTCGTACACAGCTCGATATTTTCTTTTTTTTTTTTCTTCTTTTCGGACTAAAGTCGTCTAACCGATATCTCAAAAGATATATTGACTCACATTGAAAGCTGAACGAATCAATGGGGCGATTCTCCGCGCGCGTTCATCGACTATTACTGTAGTTTCGCGACGACTGTCGTTAGCGTATACATCGTGATCTTGCTATCTAAAGATGAGGAAAGAAGTCACTCCCTTCAACTTTCCGCAGTCTCTTCGGTGTCTACATTGGACGTACATACAGTTCGGAGACGAGCAGGCTCCGTTAGCCTCGCGCTCCGACGTTTTTCCCAGCGATTAACTCTCCTCTTACCTGCCTACTTCCGGATTGCGTGATCCCTGCGTTTTTCTCCTGCTCCTTCGTCTCTGTTTACGCTACGAGTACATCATAACCCTATGACAGATATATATCGCGCTGGGTATACGGTTGATATGCTAACGGATGACGTTTGAGCATCATCTAGGACTCGAGGGTTGTCTTTGGCGGTGTGTAGGACATCTCCATCGTGATCCCGCCGCTGCTACGTCGAAATCTCGACGGGATGCCCGGTATGTCGATGCTGTTACGAGGTTTGCGTCTGCTGAGGTGCCTCTCGACCCACTTCAGCATCGTGAGCACCGAGTCCGTGCTGGGCAGACGCCTCTCCGCGGAGGTGCGGATGATGTGCGACGACGCCACACGGAAAGTCGCGGCCATACCTTTCAGTGCCTGCGCAAAAATGAAAGTAAAGTGGTGACAATCGGTCGGTCGAGCCATATTTTCAGTGGGACGGTAGGATACGCTCGTCGCTCGAACGGGAATGAAGTAACAACGCTTCTCACCTTCATCGCGTCCTCATCCGTAACGTCATCACCGGCGTATATGATTCTGATGCGTTCGCTCCAGTCAAGACCGAATGCTGTGCGTAGAATGTAGATGGAAGCGCGACCCTTGTTCCACTCTACCGGCGGCTTTGCCTCGATGGCGCAATGCGCGGTGCAGGCCTTGAAGCCCGCGTTCTCGATCAACTTCTTGGCCTGGTCCACCATCTTGGGGCGACCTTCCATTGGGGTCTCGCGATAATGGAAGGTCAGGAGCGCTCCCTTATTTTCAACCCACGCGCCATCCCTGCAGAGCTTTAATCAACAAACAAATTAGACAAATTAGATGCACAGAACTAGAGAAGTCGACTGTAAACTCAGTGAAGTCCAAAGTGGACTAAATGTCCATCTTACTTGTTCTTGAAGCGTTTGCATCAGACTGGCCACCTTTCCCTCCAATTCGGCGGGCATCGGATGAACGAACTTGCTGCCGTCCGGATGTAGAATCTCCAGGCCGTGATTCCCCGCGTAAGTGATACCTTCTATTCCGACCATCGACTTTACATTGTTCACATTCCGACCCGATATAATGGCGATGTACACGTCCGACATGTTGGATAGCCTCTGCAGCACGTTCTTCGTCTCGAGCGGCAAGATCGCCAGGTCGGGATGCGTGGCGATGGGCGCCAGCGTGCCGTCGTAATCCAACAGAAGCGCCAATTTATGATTATCACCGATGTACCTAGGGGACATGTGTTATCACTGGATCGTTATCCGGCTTTCGTCATGAGTCAGGTAACATTCGCACGCGCGGGCCCGCCGTTTTTCTGGAAAAGCGTTTTGTCGATCTCTCTCTCCCCCTGTCTCTCTCCCTCTCTTTCTCTCTTTTGTATGCCCCATCGGCACTTGTGGCTCTTTCGAATGCGCAGAGCAATGTGATATGCTTTGCTTAGTTGTAGTATCGCGGGAATAACTGGATAGGATATCAGGATCAATATCCCACATGGAGCAAGTCGCAATCGGCGACGTCATAAAGCACATTCCGACAATCATTATGTCGCCACGCTGCGACGTACCCAAACTCATGCTTAGCTTAAAAGTGTCAGAAGCGTAGCGTCAAGTGTGTCTTGTGTGCTTAATACTATCTTAACAAAAGTCTAAAATGTCGACTAATACTAAGTGTCGAGTGGTTCTCAAACTTCTTGGGTCGGATGTTCTTTTGATGTGAACCAGATTTCTGTCGGATTCACACACTATCAGGCACTGTGCGTATCATTCCTCTGAGATTACGTGAATATATCCACTCTTGTTCCGAGCACAATACTGCGAGTATAGTTTGAGAATCGCTAGACTAGTATATGAAGTACAAGAGTACTTCGATCTCTCTTATGCAATTTAAGTATTCCTTAGATATATTCATATGTATATTATACATTGTTCCACATCTCTCCCGTTCAAAGCGCATGCGCTGGTCGGGCCCAGTCATGCACATCTTTTAACACATCTGATACCTACTTGCTCAAGTAGTCGTCGAAGTCGTCCATAGTCACGGGTTGCATCGTAGTGGCGCCCACAGAATCATGCTCCTCGAGCGATCCCATTACTTGCAGGAAGGACTTCATCCAATAGTTGACGTCGTAAATTCTCTCACGTCGGCGTAAGTGATTCATTCGCAACGTGCGCTCGTCCTCTGGCATAGTAAGAGCTCTGTAGAAAATGTCAAACCGTTAAAATCGCTCCTCCCAAGTATACAACTTGGAACAATTAAGATTTCTCAACGGAGTGTGTTGAAAAATCGATTTCTCGACAGGTCTGTTTATTGTTATTGAACGAACTCGGCTCAATTTGGAGTAGGAAGACCAGTCGCGTACCTATGAATCACTTCCGCGGCCTCGTCGATCTCATAAGGATTGCAAATCAAGGCCTCGTGCATCATTTCGCCGGCCCCGGCGAATGGCGATACTATCAGCACGCCCGGCGGCGTATTGATTTGACAAGCGACGAACTCTTTGGCAACTAAATTCATGCCATCCCTGAGCGGCGTGACGAGGGCGACAGCGGCGTCGCGGTAGAACGCCGCCAACTCGTCCTGACTCACACAGCCGTAGATGTAGCGGATCGGCGACCAGTTGGGCGTTGTGAAGCGACCGTTTATACAGCCGATCAGCTGGTCCATCTCGAGCTTCAGGTCCTGGTACTCGCGGACGTCGGTGCGCGACGGGACGGCGATTTGAAGCATGGTCACCTGCAGAACAATCGAGCAGATATCGTTCAACGATTCTAAATCAGCAAACTAGAGCAAACGCGTCAGTTAGAATTTTTTTATTTATTTTTATTTATTTCTTCTTATTTATAAACCCTACCATGTATTGTTACGTGAAATGTTACTTATTTATTAATGATCAGCCCAACTATTGATATTCTCTTTTCCGTTCTCAAGAAAGGATACTTCTCGTCAGTAAATTAATAAATGTAATAAAGTAATGGTGAGAGGCATAACATCAAATTCTCGGTGCGTCTCTCGAATAAGATGATACTGTTACAGGATACTTTGAAGGTAAGGGTTGAGGTTAGCGGGAATGAGATGCAAGTAGCTGGGGTAAAGAGTAACATAGGAGTATACCGTCATCCGCATAGAGATGACTTAAACGTTCCTATTAATTAATTGACTGCTTCAAACGTTATCTTTTAATGTAAGTAATAAATAAATAATTACCTGTTCACGATGCTGGGGATGCTTCTCCAGCAACATCTCGAAGGCCTTCAGCCTGTGCACGAGGCCCTTCGTGTAGTCGAGACGATCGACGCCGAGAACGATCTTCTGATTCGACTGCATGACCTTGTTGGCGGTCTCCGCCAGCGAGACGAACCTGTCGAACGGAATGCCGATCGGCAACGGTCTCACACGCACCGTCCTACCGCCATGCTCGACCAGTAGATTCTTCCGGTCCACCCTGCAGCCGAGACACCTCTGGCAGCAATCGACGAAGTTCAAACAATAATCCTGAATATGAAAACCCACCATGTCGCATCCTAAACGTTACAGGAGCTACGTTAAGATCTGATCCGCAACGAACTACCCTGAGAATGTTCGCAGTGCACTCGACGGGTTGGTGTTTCACACTCACCGAGCATACCCTGCAGAATCTCATCGGCCCACGGGAAAAGCCTGAAAATGTCCCACGGCGGGAACGGTATGTGCAGGAAGAAACCCAACTTCAGCCTGAGATTCTTCTCCTCGGCCGCTTGCCTGATCCAATTGGCGGCCAACATCAGATGATAATCGTGAACCCACACCAACGGCGTGCCATTGGACTGGTTCATCTGCTCCTTGTGAATCTGCGCCAAGGCGCCGACCTGCATCGACATAGGTTCGTTGTTGAAAATACTGAATTATTGAGATTCCGCTTCCACGCCTTCAATTGTCGAAAATGCACCGGATAAAAATACTTCATTATAAAAATACATCTAATCTAATTTACACGTAATCCCGTTCCATACGAAAAAGAAGCAGATATCACTGCATTAAAGCCTTACATTTAATCATATTCACATCTCCAAAAGAGATCTTCTTTACGGGATAATTACATTCGTAATTATATGAGATAGTTATATTCGCAATTAGTATAATTATAATTATGTTAAGTTGGTAAGGGGGGAGGGGGGGAAGAGTCGTGCTGAACGCAACCGGAAATTAATAGGATCCGATTAGAACGAAGCCGCGCGCGCGGGAATATATTTCAGACCACAAGGCCGCGATCAATCACGATGATAGGCATATAAACACTGACCGTCTTCTCCGCGAACTGTTCGTTGACCGCGGAGTACGCGCGCCAATGTTCGGCGGTGAAGGTCGCACGATCCGGCATGGAGTGGAAGAGAGGCCAGAAGGTTCCGTTGCAGCATCCGTTGTAATACGAATCGAAGATACCGGCATCGACATGCACCGCCACAACCTGAAAATGAAGAAAGAGAAGGTATGTACAAGCGCGTGTATGTGGATGTGTGTGTGTATACAAGGTGTCCCAAATTCGTAATGTTTGTGGGAACATAGAACAGGTTGTGGTGAATATAAAAATCCCGTATCATTTTGCGATATTCACAATAAGTCTTGAGATATTAATTAAAGAAAATTGGTAAATGATCATGCGCGACATAGATGAGCTGTAATGGCGTCGTGTACTTGTATTAGGTCAAACTGAACAAAAAAGTCCTTTATTATTTTGCAAATAATCACGTAGATTTTTAATTATTAATGAGAGAAAAATGTTACATGTTTGTGCGCGATAATGCAAATCTTTTTTAATTAATAACTAAAAATCTGTGTGGTCATTTACAAAATAGACCTTTTTGTTCAGTTGGAACGTACAAACATACGACGGCAAAGGACACCACTATAGCTCATTTGCCACATCGCGCGTGATCATTCAGTTCTTTAATTAATATCTCGGGATTTACTACGAATATCGTATAACGGCATGGGACTTTTATGTCAGAATTGCGAGTAATTGATTACTTTTCCAATTAATTAAATTAGAAATTATTTACTCAAATCAATTATTAAATCAATTATTAGATTAAGGAGAATTTAATTGATATTTTTACAACTCTGTGTTATGTTCACCTCAATTCGTTGATTGTTCTGAGACACCCTATACATGGGAGAGTCGGCAAACGGAATTTCTCTCATCGCAATTTCCCGCGCGATATGACGCGCATCCTTGCCGCTATTTCGGGAATTAATTCAAGCTGTAGTAGGCAAACTCGTACGATTGGTGCGCAATTATCGCGTGTTGAGTAACGTTGGACTTGCAAGATATAACGGGGCGTCTTGGCAAGGTGCGCCGGTTATTACAGTTGCATGTATTTTTAGGCGCCTCGCGCATAAGATGAATAATTTTTCTATAGTCCTCTTCTTTTTATTCCTTTAAAAATTAATTACCAAAAAAATACTATAACTGAATACTCCATTGTTCTTCACCTTTGAATTTGGACAAATCAGTGACAAACGCGACGTATAACAATTGTTTACTTAACCATCCCGCTCGTCACGTTGTTCTGACAGGAGTTTATAAGGCAAGACTGATCACAACTGGTCATGTTTCGACGGAGTCGTCTGTACCGAGGGGTGCAATAAATTAAAATGAGACAAGTGTATCACTCTAACTTATTGCATCAGTTCAGACAGTTCAGTTAAAAAAAAAAACAGACCTAATATCACACATATCACGTGAAAATTTCAATCCTAACTTTGAATTCAGATCTGAGTATCTCACAGATAAGTTTCATGTAACGACCATTAATACGAGAGCCTTAAGCCTGATCTACAATATGCTCTTTGCGTTCTGTTTCTTGTCTTCTATCTTTTTCTCCTCTTAAGCTTAAAGCTTAAAGAGTTAGAAAAAGATAAAGAGAAAGAAGCAGGAAGCAAAGAGCATATTGTAGATCAGGTTTTAGAATTCCACTTGAAGCAACAAAACGTTGTTCCGAGCGGTGGGTGAAGATCTGGTGACGATAAAAAAATAGGACAAGAATAAATAACGGCGCGGATCGGAAGTGCATGTATATAATAAAGTCCGGGTTCGCGATAACGACGTATCGTCGTTGGTCGAAGGTTTGCCCCCTCGTGCTGCTGGTATCGCCGACACCGCGCAATCGTGTTATCCCCACGACTTGTGGTTATTTTGCCCGCGACACTGCCTCCTTTATTTCCGATCAGAGTGTGAAAACAGGCCGCGCGTCGGGAGAGATCACCGCCTGACGCAAGTGAGCAATCTCGCCGGCGAGCGATAAGGCGTTTTAATGCTCCCACGATAGACACAACCGTCCGCGGCGATCGGTTGTTTCTTTCGCGGATATCATCATTTACGGGCACATTAATTAAGAGAGGTCAGGGAAAGCCGTTTTTTCCTTGCTCACGTTCGGCGGGATGAGGATCTTCGTTGTCGTGGAAGGTTGCTTAATCGCAGCGCGATAAAGCGTATCAATTTTTACCGAGAATTTCATTAATCGTGCGGCATCGGATGAGAACAGGCGATGACCTCGATCGATTTTAATTCGACGGGCCTCGAGCGAGGTCGGAATTATCTCGCGCGAACGCGCGTTACTCCCTCGAATTATCAAGCTGTAAAAAGCACAAAACGACGTCGCGGATTTTGTGGCAATGCTGTAATACAGCTCGACGTTCAGCGAGACGTGTTTCGAGCCAATAAGGCAGAAGGACATCCCGATAGACCTGTCGTACATTTTAAGTCTTTTTGAGTGGAAATTATACCGGAAAACTGGAGAGAACCGAGTCATTCGAGAGATTTTTCATATAGAGCGAATTCTCCGAATCGTCAAGTGGATATTTTCACACAAAATTGAATGAGTAAGTCTGTTTGTCTGACTCTTTTTCTTTCACACGTTAGAAACAAATTCACTCTGATGAATTGAAATATTTATTCGTGTATATTGAGAACCTACTCTGACAATATGAATGAAATATTCACTCTTGTGATTCTAAGTGGCGATATCTTCGCTGTCGCTTCGAGAGTGAATTCTCATTTGTTTGAAGCGAGGTTTTGCGCCAAGAAGTTTCGAAGATAAACAAACAGCAAGCGAGATATGAATTTCCAGTCTCGGGACACGTAAATGCAAAATACCCGAGTCGAAATTTTGATCCTACTTTCAGCCTTACTATTTCACCCAACACCTATTTTGATACTCTGAAACCTACATCGACCTCTTTTGATCCTATTTACTCGCGTTGAAATTTTGATCCCATTTTCGGCCTCACTAAATTCAGTACCTATTTTGACGCTAAATAAAATGAAAAGAAAAATTTCAAACATCATTAGAGTCAAAGTAGGGATAAATTGTATCATTAGAATTAAACTTTGCTAACTTAGCTCCTACTACGTTGTAGAATTCAAGGTTTAATATAGAGTTACAATTTCGACTCGAATATTGTTACTTTTTATTTCTTTCGGTCAAAGTTCCTTGAATCCTATTTTAAACATGTACGTGAGTGCCAATTGTCGTTTCCCGTTACAATCTACGACGCGTGATATGAGATAGAGACCCGAGTAACACTTGAAAATCGATCGCTGTTATTGTTTGATCGTACGGTATTGCGAGTGCTGAACTAGTGTGCGAGGAGAAATCGATATGAGCGATTTTTCGAAAATAACAACGAACGAAACAATGCCTATGTACGATTATATTTCGCCGTGAGATCCAACCTGTAATTTATTCATCGTGTGTGTGTCTGTGTGTGTGAGAGAGAAAGAGAGAGAGAGATTTTAGTGAGAAAACAACAAAGACATTCCTCGCACATGCCACTATTTCCTGCGACAGTTCAATTAGGAAATAGCTCGCAATGAAAACATTTTAATTGCTTCTTATCGCGCACTTCACGTGGTATGTATTCCGCGGCGAGAGAGAGCATGTGACACGATAGTCGACTTCTCCTCTTTATAACGTTGTTTTCCCGTTTTTTCCTTCTTTGTTTCCTATATGCGCGTCGCGTATTATGCAAACATATTATTGAACATTCCAATCCGCGATGCAAAAATAGGGGGCGGCTAAGTGGGAGAGACGAGCAAGACACTGGGAATGCGAAGCATTCTATGGCTGGAGAAACAAACTTTAAAACGGAAAGAATCCCGCGTCTTCTATATCTCTCTCCTAAAAGTCTCCTCTATTCTGATCTCGCTTAGCGAGAGCTGTCTTGCAAAATCCTCAGCGATGCAGCTGTTGCAATTTATTCTCAATCTGTGCGTACAAATCGAGAACAATACTGAATCGCCAAACAAATTTTCGTTTCGACACCAAAATATTTCATCATGTACTTATGTGTCATTTACACATTTAACTCGAAAAATTAATGTTCTTAGAAAAAGAATAAAAAAGAATAAACCCAGGAAATATATAAAGGCAAGTAGGGAAAATAAATTAGACCGTCCCGAGTCGAAATTTTGATCTTACTTTCAGCGTTACTACTTCATTCAACACCTATTTGAATATTCTAAAGCTTATAATACAATCGTTTTTGACGTTAAAGAAGGTGAAAACGAAAATTTTGGACATTATCAGAATCAAAGTAGGAGTATCATTAGAATTAAACCTACTTTGCTCAGCTTCTATTACGTTGTAGAATTCAAGCTTTAACATGGAGGCAAAATTTCGACTCGGGTAAACTCAGTTTTAAGAAACTCGTTCTCGTTTTTCCAGCGTCCCGATCACGCGTTTATTTGGCGGTAATTCAATACTAAACAATAAACAACATCGCGTCTGGCGAGGTAGATTGCGAGCTGCCTGAAAATTTTCACGTAACGATAATCGTCGTGGTCGTCGCCACACAGACTTTAATCATGCTGTTAGCGAGTATTATGTTAATTATCGGCGGTCTCGGGAAAGCTGATCAGCGATGCGCGATGGATCTCCATTGCGACTGTTCGCGTGGGTGGTTAACGCGAGTCTCCGAGCCGGTATTGCCGATCGCTGGAAAACTGGTGACAATTGCGCACGAATGGCGGACGTAAAAAGCCTGCACGCGCGTCACACAACGATAACCCTGAGCGATCGACCCCGCGACACCGGATCGCCACTCATTCACGCGAAACCACGGACTAGGCACGATCTACGCTCGCTTATTCGATCGATCGGGTCAACTCACGATCGATCCGCGTTTCTCTCTTTTTTTCGTCCTCTTCCTTAGATCGTTCTCTCTCGAGGAAAAACACAAATATATCACAAATAATGTAAGATATTTATGTCATAAATTAGCTTAAACTACTCGCCACGTTGCTCGGGTTATCACAAAATGTCAAAGGGATAAAATCAAGGGAAGGAAGTGTCCAGGGGTTTCGCTATATTTTCCGCAAGGTCCTCGAGAGTAACTTATTCGGTTCAGATGGGTTCAGGAATTCATAGGAAACATATAGACGAACAGACATTCTATTTTATATATAAA